TTAGGATCCAAGCTCTTCTACTCGAATTCAGAGAGCTTGGTCTGTGTTATTAAGCTTCTGCTGTAGCTGTAGAGTTATCTCAGCAGCCTAATCGACTGACAGGGCGCATAGATGAACCGGGCGTAAGCAAGAGATCTACTAACTGACTTATTGACCATTGTTTTTAGTTTGTATGATGTGCTATTTGCGGTCCGAATTTCTTCGGCCTCGGTGCAAGTTATTAAGAATATAAACTTATTGTTATGGTAATATATGCACTATCACTACTATGTATTTATTATATTTATTTCTATGATAAAATTTTGTACGCATATCACTATGTCATTACATATTGCAAATGTTTATAGTGGTAATGTGATAGCTGCATTCGTAGAACGGTGCACTTGTATGTTACTTCAGGTATTTCAGATATACCTTCAGAATATCTTATATTCAAACGCATTAATGCTGAACTCCAAGCGAATATGTTCAAGCAAATATTAACATAATTATGTAATAGTCCGATGATGACGAAGAAACAACATATAATGATATTTTTAGCATAAATGAACATGTTTGGTTCCTTTGAAAATCGAAAGAAATAAGGCAAATATTCATAGCAATCCCATTTTTACCAGTCACCCATTTAATACATAATTATGTTCAATATAAGTACATATTTTCAAGCTAGCCCCGGTGCTCTACTACCACGACTCTGGATCAGGCGCCTGTACATCATTAGCAGACTTACTTAAAATTTACCAAAGATGAAGCGTAAAGTTTTTATGCCAAGTCATCGCTCCTCATGTCGAGACAGCACCCAGCACGAGACTTGACGCTCCTGTCGAGACAGCGCCCAGCACGAGACTTGCCGATCCTTTCGAGACAGCGCCCAGCACGAGACTTGACGCTGCGGTCGAGACAGCGCCCAGCACGAGACTTGCCGCTCCTTTCGAGACAGCGCCCAGCACGAGACTTGCCGCTCCTGTCGAGACAGCGCCCAGCACGAGACTTGAGTCGAGACAGCGCTGAGCACGAGACTTGACATTCCGGTCGAGACAGCGCCCAGCACGAGACTTGACGCTGCGGTCGAGACAGCGCCCATCACGAGACTTGACGCTCCTGTCGAGACAGCGCTGAGCACGAGACGTCGCGTGTCCGCAGCCTCTGATCTTATCTCAGACCTACGAAATGCGGCCAAAAATGTTGAATGATATCATTTAATGCATCAAATCTACGACTGGACCAAAAAAATTCTAATATAATTCACGTGGGCTTCTGCTAGTGTAAACTTTTTGCCTCATTTTTAATTTCTATTGTATATATTCTGCGGGTAAAATTTTTTAACGATTTTTTTAGTTCTAAAGTTTATCCGAGTTCTAAAGTTTTTTCCCTTGATTTCACTTAGTGAGATTCAACATCAGATTATCAGTTCACTATCAAGACGAGATTGACGACTGATATCAATGAAAACTTAAAAAATTAAAGGTCAAATCAATGCCGTAGTAAAATTAACAACTGTCTTTATAATGAACAGACTTGCCACGGCATACGTGCATGGTGGCATTGCAGTCGTTTCGAATCTTCTTTGTAACATTAGGGAAAAAACGAATTTTACAGCAGCTAAAAACCAACAGTGTGAAGTGAGAAGTGTAGCAACGAAGGAAAATCTGAAACAGAGCTCTGAAAATGATGGAAAATTTAGCTGTGTGGAAGCTAGTATAAATGATCGTGACGGGAGATGGGATAAATGCAACCATTTAAAACTGGAGGAAAAAATAAAAATCCAGCAGAGAAAATCAACAGTGTTACAGGAGAGTGTTTAAAAGAAGGCCTATGGTAAATACTAGGAATTAAAGACAATGTAAGAGTAGGGGATTATAAACAGTGAAACGGGTGGCCATTAAAAATTGTTAACTGTGCAAAAGCGAGTGAAGGTGAACAGTGTTCCGTGCATGCCTGAAAAGTGGCATATCATTGAGTAAATATCGTTAATTTTTTTAAATAGCGAAGTAATTTTATATGCTAATACAAATTATCTCACGCTTGTTTTCAACACTTTAAATGAATGGAGGTTTTTAATGGTTTGCTGGTGGTGAGGTTACAGTTCGGACTGTTCGGTGGTTCTGTTGATGATAATATGTTGGCAAAATTGAGTGTTGGTGTGGCGGTGATGGTGGCGACTGGCTAGATTATGATGTTGGCGGTAATATAGAAAAATTGGAAAAAAAATATTGACCCAAATTTGTGAACAACTTTTATGGAAAAAAAAATATTGGCCCAACGCGGAAAAGCGCGAGGGAAGGCGCACGAAGCGCTCCATGCAGCGTAGCCTGGAACTGCTACTACGTCCGAAACAAAAGGGCAGTCCCATTTGGTGCAGTTCGCACAAATTAACTGCAGCATCTTCGATTGCCTGGAGCTTTAAAATAGATTCAGGTGCGTTGTTACTTTAATGTAATTTGTTAATGTATTTACATTCCGTCATAGACTCAGAGTCGTAGAAGGGCGCTTCATATTTTGAGGCAAATCATAGGGTTAAATCGAGCCATCAATTTGACTTTGGCTGAGGTAAGCACTTACATTATCAGTCTGCTTATATCGCAAGTTCACAAGGAATTTAAAAGCAAAGAAAACGCCAAGCAAATTCACCATATTGATATTGAAAACGTTTCGGAGTCCAGCCCCATCATTAGTTCGCCAATATAAAAAATGATTAAAATCATTTTATAAGTCAAAATTCTAAGACAGACATAAAACCTAAACAAGGCCTACCATTATATCGAAAAGCAGAACTCGATCGGAACCACTTAGTCCTAGGGGTCACGCAAAGGGTAAAACTTAAGACAAAAACAATAAAACATAAAAGGCTAGCGATTCACTATTTCAAGAGGATATGAACTGAACGGATTATTTAGACATGGTTTTCGTTTGAAGATATGTAGTGACTCCAAAATTCTCAAATAAGCAGCCAGATGTGGAACCTAGTATCCTAAAATCACTCTCAGATACAGCCACGTCGCACTGTTCAGCATGGAGGCGCACGGAAGAATGAGGAGGCTTGCCGAGAAGCTAGTTCGAACGATAGCTCCTGCCGCGGTGTTCAGAAACCCGGATGTAGAAGTTACGCGACGTCATTCCAACGTACGCAGATGCGCAGCGCGCACAACTGTACCTATAGACCTGATGAAATTTCCAGAGCTCCCCAATTGGAAGGAGCCAAATTTTTCACGAGATCTATCCTCCTAATAACATCGCTTAAAGGGATGTCACGTGTCGTCACCAATTTGATTGGGAAGAACAATGGCCTTTGCAGTGTTGGGCTTTGTACGCAATTGCCTGACCGTCATATCATAGAACTGATGAATTTACTTCTTGATGAGCAAGACTGAAATACTGTCATGTTGGTGTTGATAGCCCAAACGCTGGAATTAATCCTGTAAGGTTTTCCAATAGCTTGGTAACTCTGTCATTTCTGTATACTTTTCGTTACCTCTTCAGGCTACTGTTAAACAGTGTAGCCAGGTTTTTTATCGGCGAGAATACCAGATTGCCTAGCAGCCCTAGCTCAAAATACCAGAAATTCTATTGTTCAAAAACAGGCTATTATCTCCAGATTTAATGAAATTATTCGTCAGAAACGTTGGTTATAAAAAAATAATCTTATGTACTGTGCATTTATATAGCTTGACGATAATTAGCCAAATTGAACATGTTATATTATTTCCCTCTATTTGGAACGTTTTGACTCTTTTCTTTTCCTGTGTTTGATTACATTGACACTTTTTCCTTTTTAGCGCATTTTCTCATTTATGAAAAAAATGCACTATAGTGCCCGCCATGTCCGTCCGTCTGTCTGTCCGTCCGTGACTTCACGTTTTCGTCGACGAGAAAATGCGCTCTCTGTAACTCACTGCAGTGAATTCTGAGTTATATTTTTTTATCACAGTGTCGCACTTCTCCCCCTTTGCTCAACATGAGCAAGCCACGGAAACAGGTCATCTTGCTTTTGCTTATTTTCGTACCTGATTGCATATTGCATTTATATAACATTTCGGGTTTGATTACTTGTTGCAGCTGAGCAGATAGCTTTTGGTCTGAATTACGGACTCCAGGACCTTAGTTGAAATTTTATTTCGTTGCTTGTTTTTCACATAAGTGACTTGTGAAAATATTCGCTCCACGAATGCACTGGAGACAGGTCAAAGTTGGCAAGTGATGCAGTAGGCAGCCAGTTCCATGAATGGATGATGATTTCAAGGTCAGTGAAGTATTGAATGGCACCCCAATAAGTGGCACTCTAGAATTCAAAACCACCAAACAAAAATAGTGGAGCTTGCGTCGCAGAGATCGGTTCGACAACCTCATTCGTCCTAGGCCATATCATCACTGATCAGGATCATCACTCTCGTGCTTATATTGTACTAAACACTGTTGTTAAATGTTAACAATTAGATTGGGGTTATTTCATCAAGCGGTAAACTTGCGGGTCCAAATATGGCGGGAGAGCTCTAGTCGCGCCACTCTGAAGGTAATCTATATAATTCACGCCTACGCTGGAGGAAGTTCAAACTTCCGAAGTGGAACTTAATGCAGTAAATTTGCAGTAAGCCAGAAAATACCAGATTTAGGTACATATACCAATATACCAGATCTAAAATATTCATACCAGACACCTCCTGAAAATACCAGATTTGTGAAATTTGGTACAGAAATATACCATCTGGCAACGCTGCTGTTAAATCGTTTGGGTACAATGAACCAATCGGACTTCGTGTAGAGTGTGGACTAATAGGGGACGTTATGATAGACTATTAGGATCTGACTGCCTAGGTATTTAGATGTAATATAATAATATCTATGCAATCTAAGACACGAATGAAAATTTTATCATATGAACACTCTTTTCAAAATTTGCGTTTCCTATGAAAAGTCAAGTACATAAACTCTATTTTAAAAGAAGATGTGTTACAGGTAAAATTATAGCCCATGCGTAATGCGTTCGTCAGTTGTTTTGAACGTTAAACTCAACGGTCCACATGTATGTCGTGTCCGAACTCCGAAGACAGTTAGACTTGTGTCGCCTCTGAAACAATGTATAATAACTCCATAGAAATTGTTTAAGTCTAGAATTTAGGTAATATTTGCTAGTTGCAGCCTTAAGCCATTGTCATTTGTGCTACTGAACTAACGTCGGTCAACATGGGCAGTAGATTGGAAAAGGTAAGTTTCTAAGCTAATCATTAGGCTAATCACTAATGTACTACGGTTAATCGGTAATTGGTAAATAAATGTGTGCAGTGTGGTCACACTCCGTCACAGTCACACTCACAATGGTTTAAACACTAATTTTCGTAGTGAATGCTTCCTAAAGTGAAGTGATCATTATTTTTGTGATGTAAGATCAACTCGGAATTGATATAAATCATGAAATCTATTTTATCAATAGATTGCAGTTTATTTCTAATGTTCAGCATCACTGCATCTGTGCATCAGCCTCAGGTAGGCTAGCTAGGCTATGCCGTCGGCCGTATGGCGTACAAGACATTTAATTAGTGAAGACAACAAGACTAGGTACAACTTTACAAGAACTTGAAGTTGAAGAAGCATCATAATTCATGTATCATGTATGAATATGAATAATATTATAAATTATTAGGTATACGCCATGGTTCACAACTTCAGTGTATTCATTCCTTATTTCCTTTAGAATTAAATTAGTTTATTCAAAAACGATTTTTTTATTATTTGGCTAAGAAATTTTGTTTGAGGTCAAGCTAAAGCTAAGTTTGGCTTCTTCCAAATTCCAATCACCTATTTATTATGAGGCTATTAGCTTGCAGCTGGTAGTGCCAAAACAGCCTAGTGCCTACAGTACTTATTTGGCAGAAGAGAAAAAAAAGATCAGAATGCGAAGGCCCAGAAAACCCAGAAGAGGAAGGCTCTGTTGGATGAGCTAAATGAACTGAAGAAGAAGAAAATGCGTACAGAGGAGGGTATCAAGGCGCTTGAGCAAGCAGCAGATGAATATGCAATAATGCAGAAGCAATGGAGAGAAAGGGGTATTTGAAAATCATCACAAAGTTCAACGCCATGAGGCGATCTTTGAAAACAAAGCAACAGGAGCTAGACACTCTTGAACTGAACATTAAAGAAATAGTTGATAAAATAGCTGCCAGTTGAATGTTAGCCTTGTTAGGGTAGTGGTGTTGAAGAGTATTCTGAACTGTATTGACATTTGACAATTTTGACATTATCATGTACAATCTTGTGTGCATTACTCAATGTTTGTTGTGATATGACACTATTGAATTCAAAATAATAGGTACCAGTGTGGGCTTGATTTTGTGCCATTATTGGTCCTATTTGTGTGCTGCTCTATGCATTTACACATTTGCTATTTATCAACTGTAGGTTGTGTAGGAGATTATAGAATATGCACGGTTAGTCTTTGTCATGCTAAACCTGTTGTATACGAGTCTTGGGAAATTATATTGATGGTCATAGAGAGTCATGGAATTTTTTTCTAAATACCAGTACTAGCAGTACACACCCTGTATGTTTGCTGCAATAGCATTTTGGTAATACTACTTATGCAACATGTAATGTGTCCCAAAATATAATTTTCCATGAATAATTGTGTGTTATTTCTATTTCAAACAAGAATATCTGGCAGCCAACTGTGAATGAGACAAAAACGCCCATCTTTGTGCGCAACTTTGCTCATTCCTAACCTATGGCCCCAGGCTTTTCCCAAGCTTTTTTCAGTAAATAAGGAAAAAGATACATTTTTCTGCATTTGTTTTTATTGCATATCACCGGTGAAGTGATTCTTTTTTCACCAATTCTGATTATTCCAGATTAATTTCTGTTCATGCCTATTCTTCAATGCACATTTATTCATGTATATTTTCTCACTGGGCAGCTCCAGGAATACCTTGAGGAGTTACAGCACATCAAGGAGCTAGGAACATCATCTGCTATGGTGGAAAATTTTTTGGATGCAGAACTCCTTCTCTGTGAGAAGAAAATCAAATTATTTGCTTCAGAAAAGAATAAGCAGGAGGTTAGTGCTTTAATTATTTTTTTTGTGTAATTTTATTTTATGAGCATCTATCCCAGTAAGCAATGCGTCTTTTTCTCATTCAATTTCATTTATAGTAGAAACATAATGCAAGGTATGATTTTTCTTAAATTTAAAGATTTATCTTAACTGATATCAGTTGTTATTATTTGTTATTTACTATTTATCCCTGATAACTTTGAAGCCATAAGTTTCATGAAATTCTGATTTTATTGGGTTTCTTGAAAAAAGTATATTCATTGTTCATATTTATTAGAAATTAATTAATAATTTCATTCATAATCATTAATATATCATTAGTTTTACAATTGTAGTGTAATAAAGCAATTCATCATACTTAGTATACAACTATTCATTGTATAAAATGCTATGTTTGCAAAATGAAAATGGCAATGAAGCCTGATGGAAATAACCTAAGGTATTTTATTACAATATCCTAGATATATTACATTATTTTGTGAGACAGGGCTATCCTAGGGATTGGAAGCAATAAGGCACATAAAATTTGTTGTAGTATGCATCTCGTTTTCAAGTGATTATCTTCACTCATTACCTACTTAAAGGAACTAAGGGGTGATGTTATAAGCAGTTCAACTGGAGAATTAATCTAGAGGCACAAAGATGAAAAAGACAAGCCAAGGCTTGATGGCATAGCCACTGAACATAAACCTTTGGGTGCAGGGGGCCAATTCAGGTTCTTATTTATGGTCACCTACTCTATGAAGGGTTACCTGTTCTTGTGCTTGCAAAAAGACTTGCTAACTTGAAACTGAAATGTGTGTATATGGCTGAAAATTAGTTGAATGTTCTATTACAGAGAAATGAGCCATGTGCATTTTTATGTTAACTTCCTGTTTACTTGATGTGCTAAATTTTTCTGTACAATATTTTGCTTGAAAATATAGTTCAGCCCACATATAGTTCTGTACAACAGATGTTTGGCATATTTTCATTGGTTCTCTGATACTTTAATATTCAATAAGCAAGTCATTTGTTAAGTTCTGTGCTATTGTGAAAGTTATTGTTAATCATAGTGCAGGTCCTCTATAAAATCAAATTTTCAGTTATTTTATCATAACTCCTAAAGAAATGGACTTAGCACTTAATTTGTGTCAGACTTGTAGGCTTGTATTGCAAGTTGTTTTTAACTCCAAAGCTAAATTATGCACAATTATTGAAGAAGCATGTGTTGAATTCATTAGTAAAATTTACACTAAAGTTGAAATTAATGATGAACATGAAGTTTAGGTAGGACTAACATGAAATAGATACAAAAAATTGTCAAGTTTATTTTTCTAGCAATGATGACAAAAATTGCTAGAACAGCACCCAAAAATTTAAACAAAATTGGAAAGATCTTGAAACGGATTTTGATTTGAAGGAGATATCTGGTGATCACTTATTTGATTGCATGTCATTGTGATAGGTCCTGAGTGACTAGAGCAAGTTACGGGATCTATAAATGTTTATAAATATTGTTAATGGGTGGGTTTCTTTTGCAACTCGTATTGACATGGGATGTTTTTTGGAGATATAAATCAACCATTGGAATAAAAATCATCAATAAAATCTAAAAACTTGTGTGATGGCAGAAGACAAAGCAGTTCAAGTGTTCAATGAATCTAACTAATGTTGAGTAAATTATCAACTCAAAACTTTATATCATCTCTATAATTTATATAAGTAATATCCTCATGTCTAATGCTGGAAGATTATGACGAGTGACCTGCATAAGGCCATTGCTAAAAAATTTCATGCATTTCTTGCACTTTCATTTGGGTTCTTTGTGGCTTCTTCTGATAATTCATTCATTTATCTTCTTGCAGATGCTGGGAGACATCTTGAAGCTGTGGCTTCTTCTGATAATTCATTCATTTATCTTCTTGCAGATGCTGGGAGACATCTTGAAGCTGTGGCTTCTTCTGATAATTCATTCTTTTATCTTCTTGCAGATGCTGGGAGACATCTTGAAGCTGTGGCTTCTTCTGATTATTCATTCTTATATCTCCTTGCAGGGGCTGGGAGACATCTTGAAGCTGTGGCTTCTTCTGATTATTAATTCTTATATCTCCTTGCAGGTGCTGGGAGACATCTTGAAGCTATGGGAGCTTCTGAAGAAGACAAGTGAGCAGATGTTTGGAAGGCAGATACAGAAACAGATTGTGGCCATACAAGAGAAAGTTGGCCAGATTTATGATGAAAGCACTGAAGGGGGACTCTCCCTGTTTGCAGTCAAGGAGAGAATGATTGACTGTCAAGTGATGTTAGCTTTGGTCATTTATGATCTTAAGGTAGGTTATTAGATTTTTCTCATTAAATGGTTACCTTATGCTGTACATGGCTAATCTGACACATCAGTGTAGTATTTCAATATATGGAAAATGTACAATTTTCATCAGGTGGATGAAAGACCTTGTAGTCATAATAATTAGTGTGTTCATTTTCCCCAAATTGAAATTAAATAGTCATTGTTCTTATAAGAGAAGTGTTTTATATATCCTGCAAGTAATTTGGAACGTTTGCCTGAATTTTAAAGATTGCAATAAAACAAATTCGTGAATGCTCATGGCAATGGTTTGGAATGAAAACATGATAGGAAACATTTATTTCAGATTTTGAAATAAGTGATGCTTGTCTTTTCTGAAAATTCACCTGATGTATCATGGCTGACAGCTCAGAGCTCCATGGTTTTGAATAACTGCAAGTTATTACTACTGTGTGCAGCATGAAGCAGCTTTGATGCGTCTTGCTTTGCGTTTTTGCCATGAGGTCCAAACTGTTCAGCCATGAGGTCCAAACTGTTCAGCCATGAGGTCCAAACTGTTCAGCCATGAGGTCCAAACTGTCCAGCCTGGACCAGCCATGAGGTCCAAACTGTCCAGCCATCAGGTCCAAACTGTTCAGCCATGAGGTCCAAACTGTTCAGCCATGAGGTCCAAACTGTCCAGCCATGAGGTCCAAACTGTCCAGCCATGAGGTCCAAACTGTTCAGCCATGAGGTCTAAATGGAAATTCAATGAAGACTTTCCTATGGTATTCCATGTATTGTAGGTATTCTTGTGCTAAATGAACCCAGTGTTGGATTATTTCATTCTGCAATAAAACTACCATCCGGAATTCACTGAAATCTCAAATTCATTCTCAAATTGGTTTTATTCAAACATTCCCATCGGTCATAAGGTTGAATCAGTCGAGTTGTTGTACAAAGTCACATTGATGTACGAGGTTGAGTAGGTATGTCAAATTGATGTCTAGAATCTAGTTGGTGTATGAAGTCTAGCTGTATGAAGTCTAGTTGTATGAAGTCTAGTTGTATGAAGTCTAGCTGTATGAAGTCTAGCTATATGAAGTCTAGTTGTATGAAGTCTAGCTGTATGAAGTCTAGTTGTATGAAGTCTAGCTATATGAAGTCTAGTTGTATGAAGTCTAGTTGTACGAAGTCTAGTTGTATGAAGTCTAGCTGTATGAAGTCTAGCTGTATGAAGTCTAGCTATATGAAGTCTAGTTGTATGAAGTCTAGCTGTATGAAGTCTAGTTGTATGAAGTCTAGCTATATGAAGTCTAGTTGTATGAAGTCTAGTTGTACGANGATGTCTAAAGTCAAGTTGATGTCTAAAGTCAAGTTGATGTCTAAAGTCAAGTTGATGTCTAAAGTCAAGTTGATGTCTAAAGTCAAGTTGATGTCTAAAGTCAAGTTGATGTCTAAAGTCAAGTTGATGTCTAAAGTCAAGTTGATGTCTAAAGTCAAGTTGATGTCTAAAGTCAAGTTGATGTCTAAAGTCAAGTTGATGTCTAAAGTCAAGTTGATGTCTAAAGTCAAGTTGATGTCTAAAGTCAAGTTGATGTCTAAAGTCAAGTTGATGTCTAAAGTCAAGTTGATGTCTAAAGTCAAGTTGATGTCTAAAGTCAAGTTGATGTCTAAAGTCAAGTTGATGTCTAAAGTCAAGTTGATGTCTAAAGTCAAGTTGATGTCTAAAGTCAAGTTGATGTCTAAAGTCAAGTTGATGTCTAAAGTCAAGTTGATGTCTAAAGTCAAGTTGATGTCTAAAGTCAAGTTGATGTCTAAAGTCAAGTTGATGTCTAAAGTCAAGTTGATGTCTAAAGTCAAGTTGATGTCTAAAGTCAAGTTGATGTCTAAAGTCAAGTTGATGTCTAAAGTCAAGTTGATGTCTAAAGTCAAGTTGATGTCTAAAGTCAAGTTGATGTCTAAAGTCAAGTTGATGTCTAAAGTCAAGTTGATGTCTAAAGTCAAGTTGATGTCTAAAGTCAAGTTGATGTCTAAAGTCAAGTTGATGTCTAAAGTCAAGTTGATGTCTAAAGTCAAGTTGATTTATGAACTCAAATTTGTGTCTAAAGTCAAATTGGTCATAAAGTCCAATCAGTTTTATAAGTTTATACCTTTTTTAATTTTTTGAATGCATCTCAACATTTTCTGCTTGATTTTAGGCCTAGTACCTTACCCTACTTAACTGTCAGAGTAGTGAGTGCAGATTTGTTTTAGGCTTGACATGCCTTGTACTTTTCTAGCGCTTGATGAAGTACTGCAGCAAGTAATTAATATTCCGTTCCAGAATGAAGATGAAGACTTTGTCACGAGGAGCAACTTGATAGGTACGATGACTACTAAGGAGCCCGAGACTGCCGGCACTGAGCCTAAGGCAGCTCGTGCTGAACTACAGACAAGAAAGTGTGATCCTGAGACTGCCGGCACTAAGCTACCTGCAAATAAGTCTGACCGTGAGACTGCCGGCACTAAGCTACCTGCAAATAAGTCTGACCGTGAGACTGCCGGCACTAAGCTACCTGCAAATAAGTCTGACCGTGAGACTGCCGGCACTAAGCTACCTGCAAATAAGTCTGACCGTGAGACTGCCGGCACTAAGCTACCTGCAAAAAAGTCTGACCGTGAGACAGCCGGCACTAAGCTACCTGCAAATAAGCCTGATCCTGTGACTGCCGGCACTAAGCTACCTGCAAATAAGTCTGAACCTGGGACTGCCGGCACTAAGCTACCTGCAAATAAGTCTGACCGTGAGACTGCCAAAACTGAGCTACCTGCAAACGAGTCTGAGTCTGGTACTGCCGGCACTGAACTCCATGGTAGTGAGTCAGCTCCAGAAATTGTCGAGGATGAGGCTCCATCTTCTGTCTCGACTCTTGAGGCCTCCACACCAGATACAAAACAAGACGCTCCTCCCGCAGGCTTGCCCACCTCCCGTGTTGAAATTCATGGTGAGAATTTGTCTACAGGCTTGCTGAGGGCGCGATCAACCAGCAAATTCAGCCTCCCATAGCTTTAATCATTAGTCTCTTACTAGCGGTTATTTTTCAGGCATTGCTTACGAAATATCTATGCTGATGTTTTCACTTCTGTACCGTAGTTTATTCTCGTGTACCTATCAGCCTCTCTCGCGTTTTCAGAACCATATTCTTATATGAGCTGTTTGCCTGAAACCCGATAGATTTATTTGCTAATATGGGGCTTTTGGTTCTGTAGTAGTTTTCTAGTTAAGCTCACTCACTTTTTCGCCGTCAGTATTATTGAATGACGTGAATTCATTGAGAATTAGACAAAAATTTACTAGTACTTCCACCATCAAATCATCTTGAAATGAAAGGAGGAAAGTTAGTCCCGCAATAAGGTAGAATGAACGGATAGGCAAGCAGCATCAGAAACAAAGCAGCCTGAAACAGAGGTTACCTTTATAGTTCCTTCTCTGCCTGCATATTCGAAGACAGTAAGTACGGTATTTCGTATCATAGTCACGTAACATCAAACTCATAGTAGCCCAATACTATGGTCACTTTTGATAGGGTAAGAGTCCATTGTTGATTCCGTTTTAAAGAAATCCAGCATATATTTTCTGACGTGCGCTTCTGCCCATCTGAAATTCTACGGGATTTTGGGTTGCTCGAGGCATTGTTCCTGTGCGTACCTCTACTGAGCTCGCAGTGCCTGACTACGGGCCTCCGTTGTGAGGCTGAGTTGTCATATAAGAAAAATTCCTTACATTTTCATCTCTCTTTCGTGCGGGTGGCCGCGTCCCGTATAAGCGACCTAATGTTCTTGTGACAAGCAAAATCACATCGCAGCAACTCAACAAATCGATTATGTAACAGAATTTAACTTCGACTACGTTTCCTAGTGCCTTTTTGGGAGGAGACAAGGGCCAAAGTTTTGATTAAAAGTTTTTCTGACTCTAAGCGTGCTATGACCTTCATTAAGATTAACTAATTTCAACCTAGTGGTGGCCGCATAGCCGTAAATATAAACTTTCGGGTGTATTTAGGATGTTAGGAGCAAATGAAATTGTTGTTAGCGACTATGAAATTGTGTGCACTCATTAAGTCCTCAATTGAACCTAAGTACTACCAACAGACTGGAATCAGACGGACAAGTTCGTGAAGCTGTACTTGGATGTGCCGGGAGTGAACGCCGCGCACGTGGCAGGCGCGACGCTTGCCTGTGAGGCGCGACACGTGAGCCTCGTCGTGCCAGACGTCGACGGCCGCAACTACGAGTACAGCTTGCGAGATCTCAGCTACGCCATCAAGCCAAACAAAAGCAAAATCAGGCTTATTGACGGTAAAACATCTTATTATGTGACTGAAATTTTAACGCACGTTGTATGCTCTTTTTAATCGTGTAGAAGTAGATGACGTTCACATTCAAGTAGATGACGACTTCAAGCGTTGTCTCTCATCCGAAGCTTTTAAATATTCGAACTTACGACAAATAAATACTATTTATACTTTCATGCTCGTATCTCATTTACTTGTAAGGTCATGAACGTGTAAAATGTGTATAGAAAGCATCGGGTTGTTGTTACTAGGGGTTATCAGCAAGGTTCAAACAAAATATTTCAATGAACAACCATAATTTGCATAAATAATCATGTATACACCCGAATCATTACCAACTACTGTTGACTCACGGTGAGCAATTCGGCCTTCCCACCGAACAGGGACAGGTGCGTGCTTCCTCTAATGCCAATCATCTGTTATAGTACTAATATTACTAAACCAATATCACATTTTATTTATTTCGCACTTTGTTGTGAAGTCAGGGATGTCATATTCGAATTCACCAGTATATCATCGTATAATATAGAGATGAAACGGGAATTCTCAATTTTAGAATGCCGGTATTCAGAGATTTTTAAAATTTAGTCAGACGAATGGATGGATTACATTGCTGAATAGTGACACTTTCTTACTCACTGCTTGAGCGAGAGCTGACGTAGCACCGATAGGTACGACATCTTGCGGGGCCAGACTGTACCTGGATGACCCACTCAAAATGCAAAGAGGGCTAAGCTATTTTGAAAAAGTTTTATTTTTTCTCTGATTGCAATAAAGATAAGAGAAAATCGATGATAAAGATTCAAATTTTGCCTTTCCTCTCCTCTCTCAGGCCGCATTGTCCTCTTCTTGAAGAAGGAGCCTGGCAGAATCTCGTGGAGGGAACTGACCGCTGCCACGTTTCCTGAACTCTCAGTTCAGATTGCCTGGTCTCGAATGTTGGAAAAATACCAAGATTTCCACCGCATGGTCACCGTTTATGGTGTAAATAAACTTAATTGTGTTAATTTAGGCTTTTAACTCCACTTTTCAAGCGTTATTATTAATTATCTTTCAATCATTCTGCATCAATGCTTCAGTTATTTATTTGTGTAGTTAAAATAGCGTTCACTTCCTGTGCCCCTGTCATGTATTATACATTACAACGCCAATAAGATGCACAAATTTCATATATGAAGGCATTGATTTGTAAATATCGCATCAGGAATTGACTCATTTACACTTTGAATTTTTGAGGTGAAACTTCTGAGACACGCACAGTTCCGTACCAGCGTAACGCGAAAAAATTTGCCTTCTCGTGTAAGAGGAAAAAATTCGCGCCCATTGACCTCAATTTTTCATTCTGCAAGTCCTATTTTTTGAGCAGTTGTGCCCCATGAACTTCATGCTTGAGGCAATGTGTATGTCTGGATTCCACGTCATCAGTAGCGGGACTTCCATCGACAGTATACTGGAGAACATGGAGATATATCCCGCTGAAGTGGTTTACTTGAATTTGCACTCGAGCTCCTCGACTCCATTTTCAGCGTACGAGAAAGCCGTCAGAGCCTTTGCTCTGCACGATTGTTACGTCAGCTTGGCCAATGTTCAGTATTCTTATTCATCTGAAGTCCAAAACGACGACTTCCTTGTTAGTCTGCTTGATGAGAAACCGTGAGTTCGCTTTTTGACCTTTTTTCCTTTACTAAGTTCGTGCTTAGCAGTGTGGTGAGTCGCAAGGAAATGCAGTGAAATAACGTTTTACTTGTTGTGGATAAAAGAAGTGTTTAGTGGGAATTTGTTTGAGAATGAATGAAGTGTCAATTTTCGTTTACCGACCCTGAAATAGTAATACCTCTGACGACTGTTTTAGTATCTGTAGACAAAGGCTCCTTCATTATTTTTGTTTATTTTTAGCGGCAAGCTGGCAACGTTCAGTGGCTCCCTAAGTGCATTAAAAATCTCCAACCTGCCGCCTGTCATGATCCAGCTGAAGCTGCATGTGTCGTGCGCGCAGCAGCTCGACGCCATCTCCACCATGCCCACGAACCTGGGCAGCCTGCGTGGGTTATCTTGCTTGTACATGTCGCTGCAGTTCGTTTACAGACAGCGAAATGTCTTACCAATCGCTGCCAATATCATTATTATATTAATTCCTAAAACGATTATTTTCCATATTTTCCAATTATGTTCCCTAGAAACCTAAAAATGTGCTCCACAGACTCTCCCAATAAAAATTTTAGAATCTTTATATATTGCATTGAAACGCACCGCCGAATTATTTTTTGAATAGTTTCGTATCTGCAGATGTACGAATCGCACTCAACATGGACTTGCGTGACGTTAAACCTCTACGAGCTCGAAAGTTGGCGCTACCTCTGGTTCTTGTCTTCTTCGGTGCAACAAACGCGGACCTGAACTGGCTCATCGCTGCAATCGACAAGCTCAAGCGTCGCAGGTATAATTATTGTAGTTCAAACACTCCGTAAAAGTGCAGGTAAACGGAGAAAATTTATCACGTCACCCATTGTAGAATTCATATCTTAAGTATTATTTTCAATCTTCTACGAGTTTGTTCCTTAAAAGTTAAGGATTGGTGATCAATAATTAGGTTTTTTAGATCATATGAATATTCTTATATTTTCGTCCAACGTGTAGGAAAAATCCGGGGTTGAACTCTGGATCGGGTTCGAAACTGGGAATGGAAATCATGCTGTGCTTAAATTACACACAGGATATTCTGTGATAGTGAGTAGGCTACGAAGCAAACGCTGAGTGACAATCGGGGAAGAAGCTGCCTGTGGTTGGATCTGTGCTCTGTAGAATAGACGCTGTATCAGTGGTTTCTCTGAGTTGTGGTATAGGTACATTCCCTTCCCCAAGAGATGTGTTCCTTGTCTAGCAGTGGGCGTCACTGAGACGTTATCTTCTTAGTGAAGCTGGGGCCATACTTTCAAAACGCGCGAAGTGAACGTAAGTACTTCCGCTCTATTGTCTTGTCTATAATTGGTGGATTTTGCTTGAAAGGCCGTCAATGAATGGCTGATGAACTTACGATCGCTTAACTTTTTTTGAAAGTATGGGCCCTGGCATAGTATTTTTCGTAAGTGGGCCTGTGTATTGTCGCTAAATAGCTTGGAGTTGTTCGTTGCAGAAGAGATTTGTTCAATATTAGTGAAGGCATGTCAATTGTCTTTTTAGATCATGATAGATTATACATTTCATATTTGGGAAGCGATAAAGCTTAGCGCGAATTTTCATTTGCTTATGGCTAGTACTACATATTTCCTCTATCCTTTATTCATTCATGCGTGCTGTGGATGCTTGGTTATATTTTTAATTCTCACGTTGTCTTCGTTTCCGGTATTTGCTTTATGCTCTCCGGGCATAGGGTCGGAAATGCGGGTCATTTCGTCCCGAAGACTACAGGTGGATTAAGCTGTAGATTACATACTAAAGCAACACCGGCTGTGATGTTGGAGAGTAAATTCTACGCTCGATGAGCGCTCGCTATTCAGCCGTGTGCGTCATGATGGTCAAAGTCCAATTCTTAGTGCGAATGTTTTCTAGCGAAGGCTTTAAGGTATTAGGAATAGGCCTGAAATTGCAATGATTTCTTTGGTAGGTTGCGTTGATTTGTTTAAATGCATTATTTGACGCCTAAAATTTGATTCGTCTGATGAAGGGTATACGTTTGTACAGTGTAACTGGCAACTGTTAATGGCACCTTTTTTTAAATATGTTGTGAAAAAATTTATTGAAGATTTTTAAAATGAAGTCGTGTTAATTTATGCTCAATTCTCTTCGTGTCAAGTTTGATTATTTGAAATAAACGCGCTTGAATGCCATTCACGACCCAGTTAAGTTTGCAGTTTCATAAAGTCTAAAGTTTCATAAAGTCTAAACAATACCTGCGGCTTGTAGATTTCTTCCTGGTGGCAACGAGGTGAGCACCAAGAGGGGGCTGCGCCTATTGGCTTGTCGCCTCACTGCCGATGCCCATATTCGTCTAGCACGCGAGCTTCCCCCGGACATCGTGTCCGTCGTAGTTGAGGATAGCTCGATGGATGACTCCATTCCTGCTGCAGTCGCTGGGCGGTACCGTGCTCGCGGCTGCAAGCTGCGTTTCAGCAAGTTCGCCGAGCTCGATGACGCCGACGCACCCATACACCAGGACTGGTTTGACTTTGACTAGTACCACAGTACTAGTCGAAGATAAGCTCTGCGTGCAGGTTTTTGCGTTGCAACTGGTCTTGATAGTCATTCATATTGCTCTCTCCAACATCTTCCCAACAGCGATGAAACCAATTCCGTTACCTGCTGTGCAAAAGCAGTGTAATTCCGAAGATTTAATACGCTGTGTTAGTCATCTTCAAGTTGGTTACTTAGGAAACTAACGTCATTTTATGTTTTAAGTTTCGTACTGTCCGTATTTGCTATGGTGTCTATAGGAGCTTATAACTAAATGAAGGCCTTTCATCAGGACTTCCATGCATCTCTTGTCGCATTACAGTAGTTCGTTTGAAGTATCATGTTGAAAGCTAAGGACGAAATAGTATGTTCTGCCTAATTTTTAAATTACATCATCTACCTTCTTCTTTTACTACTAAGTCTGTCTCTGCTCTGACCACGTTTTTGTTTTGATTTTGTCTTCAAAGGAAACTTTTCTGCGAGCCCTAGGACTTGCTGTGGTCCAATTCTATGCCTGCTCTGTGTCATAGCTGATTGGATCTGGTGACTTTATTTTAATTGTTGAATATAAATGCCGACTTTCACCTTAAATTTCTCTTAGCATAGTTGCTACTGAAGAAAGTTCGTCAGTATTAGATCTCCAGTATTGAAGGAGAATAAACTAATCATCGTGTTTTAATGAATTTATTCTGCCATTAAGAAGTTTTGATTTGCTAGACATTCATTCATTATTTCATTTGAAATACCACAGGAGGATCTTGACACGTATCAACCTACCATGAGTGTCGCTTGATCAAGTTAATACTAGCATGAAATTTTGACGGTATCCGCCTAGGACGTTCAAGCAATAATTGGCTGATTGAGTCTAGAGTTCTGGAAAACAACGGCTGACCTTTAAACATTTAAAATGTGAATTGTTTAGTTGAGGTTAGGCATACTAGCTATTTTCATGGATTTTTAGTTTTTCTAGTTTCACTTTTTTATGTACTATTTAACGCTTCGCTGATTGTGTTTGTTAATTGTAAGCTGAACGACATGTAAGATGTGAGAGTTTAATTTTCAATCAAATGGCTCTTCACACATCGGCTCGAGCTTAGATTGGTTATTGAGTTTCACTGCCTATCCCTGGTACATTAATTTTATATAATTTTACCCGGATGCTACTTGTGTTTATCCGTGCTTTGACACATCTCGTGTCTAATGTTCCACCATCGTCCACAAAACGTGCCGACGCAACCGCTATGCAACCATCCACAATTCCCTATGTTACCATTCAATTCTATCCTTCACTGCCGATAGCACGTCAGACGAGCTTCCATGAATGTTTTTTATTAGAGAGCGGTTTCTATACCCACCAATGGAGGGAGCGGTTTCTCTTGATACCACAAATGCTTGCGTTGGCCCTAACCGCATCGCATTTGCATGATCGATGTTAACGAGTAGAAAAATTTCGTAGATGATTAGACAACTAACTTGTAATTAAAAATTATTGTCTGCTATTTGTACCTGCGAGTGGGATATATTGGAATCCTGGGTTGTACACAACGATAAATTGACAGAATACCACATGGTTGTTGGATATTACAGACACCTACTTGATTCGCCGAGCGAGGCTGATATGATTCCGTTACTTGGTGTTGGACGGTGTTGTCGACAGATGCTCAGTTTTTGGGGCAGTTTAGATTGTGCAGTGCTGTTGTCAAGTATCTTCATATTCTTAAATAAGAGTCTCAAATTTGAGTCGAATGTAATATTAAGATGTCATAAAATCTTGAAAACGTGCCACAATAATTACTTGCGGAAAGGAATGCCGTGACAACTTGAAGTGTCCCGTCTTGAACTTGAAGTGACATGACATGAAGGCCTTCCCAAAACAAGAAACCACAAAATGCCTTTGAATATTCAAACTTTTTGTACCTCAAAACATACTGTCCAAAAGACGTTATAACATGAATACCGTGTGTCCCCCATAGATAAACTTTCGAAGGCCTTCCAAAATGGATATTGTGCCGCATAGTATCCAGTCTGTGCGTTTCCGTAAACGAGCATACTGTGGCGACGGCCTTCAAACACAGACACTGTGTCCTCCAATAGGTATAACTATTATCAGATGATGCAGCATCTCCTATCTTCAATTTTGAGCTAGAAAGGTTTTCCTTCCATCTCATTCTTATGCTCTGCTCCCTATAGCTCCCACCTAGCGTTGCTAACTCCCTTCTCGTTACCGAGCTCCTGCTTTTCATCTCCAGTGATATTAAAACAAATACCCTTTTTGTCAAAGCCCGACTCGCGCGACCATCTAATCCACCAATGGCTTCTATACACTAATTTCTTTTGAACCGATCTACCTTACGTCAATTAACTTCTATCATGGTTTCGTCTATTAACTTCTATCATGGCCGGCGCACATATTGAACTGGACTGGTTTGACAAGTAGCCTTGTGCAAAAAAGCTCTTGAGTGTTGGTTTCGGTTTTGCAACCTGTTATTAATAGTCATTTAGATTGCTCTCTCGATATATGGGAAACTTATTCCTTTACCTGCTGTGCAAAGGCAGTGCAATTTCTAAGATTTAAAACGTGTTTGTCATCTATATTCATTTTCGTTGCCAAGGAAACTAATATAATTTTATTTTTCACTTCTTTTTATCGTCCATATATGTGATTGTGACTGAAGAGGCTGATAACTAAATCAAAGTCTTTCAACAGTGACTTGCATGCATCTTTGGTCGCATTACAGTAGTTCGTTCGAAGCATCTTATAGGAAGGTTCTTATTTATTTATAGGTTCTTATTTTATTTCTAGGTTCCACTCGGACTACGTTTTTGCTTTTATTTTCTTTACAAAGGAAACTTGTCGCGAGCCCTAGAAATTGTACGGTTTAGCCTCTATGCCTGCTCAGAATCATGGCTGAGCTGATCTGGTGAGGCTATTTCAGGTGTAAAATCGTTCGGAAACGAGCACTTTTACACTAAATTTCGTTGGGTATAGTTGCTTCTCAAATAAGATCTTGAATTCGTACTGCTCGAAGAGTGATGACTAATCGTGGTGGTTTTGATGAATTTTATTTTGCGATCGAGAAATTTAAATTTTGTGACGTATTTTTGTTCACACATCAGCTGACTATGCTGAATACAATTTATTGTAGTTGGAATTGAATGAAAAACCACAGAAAAGATCATTGCGCGTATCAACGTCTATAATTGTCTCTTGGCCGTACTGAAATCGCGTTAAATTTCGCTGTAACTGCCTCAAAGTATACAATATAATCGCTACTTTCACATTAAAGCTGTTGAGAAGAAAGGCTATCCATATTTGAGATTTGAGATGTGAATTGTTTAGTTAGGTTCATGCAATCATGTTATTTGAAAAGGATTGTTTTCAGTTGTTCCTGTTTTATTTCATTATCCCTTATAAGGTTTCAAAATTTGTACATGTACTAGGTAGTTAATTGTAAGCTGGACGAGAAGCAAGCTATAGAAATTATACTAACTTTAAATTGGCTCTTCATCGCTCAGCTCGAGCGCACCGTACGTTGGTGATTGTCTTTCACTGCTTAGCCCTGACTCAGTAATTTTATTTCATTTCACCTCATACGCCTCGAGTGGCTCCGTTCCTTGTTATCTGAATTATTCGCTCGTTCTTAGGCCGCGAAACTCGCCCATGGCTTCGAAGTTGGGCCTCCATATCTAAAGCCTTTTGCCTCCTGATGCATCTCAAGGCTTGTGCGTCGATCCTCAAGCCTATTATACATATATTATATAGCCTAGCACCGAATGATGGAAGCATCATAGCTGATCTTCATTAGACTTTTAATATACGTTACCATTCACAACACGCTATGCAAGCATTTGGTTCTGAAATGCTGAATCCACAACTATCACACCAATTACTACTCTGGCAACCATTCTCAACTCGACACACTAAAAGTCCATCCTTTCACTGCCCATTTCGGTTTAAGTGAGCTTCCATAAGGAGATGTTGAACACGCTAATGAGTTTTCATCACTAATTTGAGATGACAACAATGTGCAAGGAAACGCACTGCTCAGAAATTAAAATATTGTCTAACCAAAGATTCGAGCTAGTCAGCTTGGAGAAGAGTAGCCTCGTATGCACACCAAACCAGTGGCAAGCGTCCCGAGAGCGTCGGGATGCTGGAGTGCTGCCGCTGCACCGCACGCGGTTAACGTAAAGTGAACGTCTACAGTGTAGGAGACGGTCATATTAAATAAGATGCATTTAATTTAAAATAGTTTCAATCAGAGTTCTAGCAGCTATTAATGTAATTAAATGATTCATTAATATAATGCAGGACATTCACCTTAAAGTTCACGAGTGGCAGAAGCGTAAGTGATCACAATGTTGAAGTGTCTACTTGTTAAACTGAAAGCAAAGGACCGACCGGTATGACACTCCATCTTAGAGCACTGCAACCCACCTCTGCTTCAGCAGACTTATGCAAAGTTCCACCGACGACGCGGAGAGGTCAGTAGGCGACGTATCCGGGTTGCAGCATGTCTTCGCGTGCTCACGACTTCACAGATGGCCATCCCAGTGACGGTTGACCGACGGAGAGCTAGCCGCTCTTGGCTTTCATTATACGGTCCAAGATTGGCAAATACGGAAGTCTCCGTACGTGAAGAAATCGAAGGAAAGTAAAGAGAGGTGGTCGTCATCCCGTGGTGGCTGTTGCTGAACTGCCGTTTTGAACTTTGATGGCTGCTAGGGGCTGAAAATCTATAGGCTGCGGGTTAACCTCTATATATGGTAAAATTAAATGGGCACAGTTAAACACGTCAAAGGCGATCATACCGTCCGAAATGACTTCAAATCTGGACACAGGAAAGCATTGTGATCACCCAAGGCTCAACTCTAAAGTCAATGAATGATTTTGGTTTTCAACACGAGAAGTAGTAAGCAAGTTTTCTCAATAATAACTTTCTTTCGTCGTCAAAAATACACGTGATTATTGAGCGATTTTCTAAGATTGAGATATGAACGAGACTTTTAGCTGAAAATGAAGCCATGTAGTGATAATCGGAACTGCAGAGGACAAATTCTGGGACGATGGTTAATAAATTACAAACATAGGTAGTTGACAGCGGAACCGTATACGTAATATTAGGATATTAGTGACGCATATGTAATAACTTCGTGAGGTCAACGTGATTCTGTTAGATTCTGGTGTCGGCCTGTCGTGTATCTTGGAATTCGGATGTCCCAATTATAAGGTATTGTGTTTCGCCCACGAATCAGCTAGTGGCCCAAAGAATGCCCGGCAACTTAGCGTGTGGAAAGTCTAGCAATTTCTAAAGTATGAAAGTCATAGGCCAGAGGATGGCCTTCAAACGAGCATGGCCTTCAAGAGTGGGCCGGGTGGCCCAGTGGTTAAAGTTCAGAGTACCAAGATTGGGGCAGATAGGCGCAGGTTCGATCCCAGCTCTGTGCGCCAGTTTCTGGTCAGAATCGCCGAGGAGGCCGGGCAGTTCAGCACAGCAGAATTGTAGCAGTGAGTTGTGAGTTTGAGACCGCAACAAGCTGTAAATATTCTGTGATGTAAAGAATTGGCGACAGGCCTATAGCCTAATTAAAACGCTGAAACCGCTATTATTACTATTATTATGTTATGTGCACTTGTGCAGTATTGCCGTCAAGATATCTTTCTACTTACTGAAATTGTTTGCTGATGCTTTAAAACAATTTATAATACAGTTGAACCACGGGATACCGATCCTAAAACTTTGCAAGCTCATTCGATATAGCATCCTACCTCTTTGGTTATTAGAAAAGCGGTAGTGGAATTGAGAGCGTATTGTTACGACGTTCATCACCCCTCAAAATAATTCACAAATTTTCAGCAAATATTAACGTCCGCTTTTCTTATCTTCGATTCTTCCTATCCACCAACGACCACGTGTCATGGAAACAGCGTTTCTGCCAAGCTACATCAGTATTTCCCTCTGTTGTCAGTGCAGCTTCGGAGCTTGTGAGCGATGTATGGGGTTGCATACATTTCACTTTGTTGTTGCATTTAATCTTACAGGTTTACTCTGCCTAGCGCTTTGAGTATTTGTGTTTTCCATTTCGAACAACAGACAAACTCATTAGAGGCCCAATTTTCTCAGTCCTGACTAAGTAGCACCTAAGCTACCAGGAAACGCAGCCGAGCAGCACTAATTTTGAACACCAATCAGCCCTGAATGCAACACATATCATCGATCTTGAACTCCTCAAATTAATAACAATTCATTTTCATTCATAATGCTATGCTGGAAACATTAAAATTATTATTGCATCATCTTTTGGATTAAACTCATACGTATTCCAACGTATTTGGCAATGTGACTGCAGAAAGGTCGAGTAGTTAAAATAATTACGGAGTCTGTGCTAACAACTCCGCTTGATCCTGACAAGAGTTCGTAGAGCTGCAGAATTTCAGCATGCATTAACACACGTCTAAGGAAATTATTATTCCTCTTTGAATTCGTTGATATTAATCAGTCTGATAAATTAATATTAATCAATTGGATACAGTGCACTTCATTAGGAAAAACCTCAGGCTTCTGTTGCTATCTGTTTCTAACTAAGACGTATTCGGAACTCATTAGCTGATCTAAATATTTAAATATATGATTAGTGATCAAATGATCTTGCAAATTTGCGATGAAAACAAATTACAACTTATGATCAATTCTCATCCAAATGCATAATATCGTAGATCTGACCCAACACCTATTCGACATTGGAATTTTTGCCCTCAATTCTCTCCAATTCTAATAAAATACTTAGAAAATGAAAGCCAGGGTGCGACAGCAATAGCGCTTTTGCAGCAGTGGACTGGAGGTTTTATGGTTGGAGGAAGGATCTCGATTCAAATTCGCTGTGACATCAGTGAAGCAGTGAAGCACGGGAGCCAGCGTCCGTGACGACCTCCTGATGTCCCCGTTTGATACCTCCTCCAAGTGATGTGCCCCGACCTCATGGACAGCACCTCATGAGTCCGTACTGCACTAGCCGCCCCGGGAGAGTGGACCTTTTCTTCGAGCACTCAACTGGACCGAATTCACCACTACAAATTCATTCAGTGCACTTTGAGTCTGGCAAAAAAAAAAAGAGCGCGATTCTTTGTCAATAATGGAGTTGGGTTGAAGATCTAAAGCCGCTTCACGGCCTGACTTATAGTAAAGATGTCGGGCCGAATTGTCTAACTTTTCTGGAAAAAATACCATGAATTTATTTTCAAATTGATCCAAATGATTGATAAATAGTAAAATTTATAGATTACCGATTTCCAATAGATTAAATTATTTCTAACCGTTAATTTATAACAATCAACTGGCTTAAAGTACAACTTTTGAGAAACTAAGCCTCTCTAACGCAATCTCCACCATCTAATAATAGATGCCGCATGACGACGTCTGAATGACGTCATCCACCTGAGTGTGATTAGAAAAGTGATTAGATTAAGTGATTAGAGGCCAACTACCGTTGGCCTCTAATTGAGCGAATAGGTGGCGGAATTCGCGCAACAATTGATTGGAATCAATTCGCACGCACGGTTGATTGAAATAAACTTGATTCGTATTTACAGTTATTATATTCTCCGCCATAAAATTTCGTTTATAAGTATATTTTTAATGAGGATGTAATCCGTATCTATTCTATTCGCGGTTGTTTAGGGTGGCCGAGTAGTTGAGGTCAACAAAATTGGAGCAGCGAGTTGGGAATCTGAAACTAGGAACTAGTTGTGAAAACTCTGGTCGACCAGCAAGGTCGCCGTGCTAAGAATCGACGATAATTTTTTGGTTATTCTCGTCAATTCTATTTCGTTCGAAACGCAGAACTGTTGTTCGCACGAGGTTGTACACAAGAGGTTGTACCCACGAGGGTGAATAAAAAAGGTTGCACAATGTACACATGAAGTTCTATGATAAACACGATGCCGAGTGTGCGCGTGAACTCCATCAATCGTGACAGAGTGAACCTGCATTTAGAAAATTGAAGGGCGTGAGTCGTGTTGTCCAAATAGTGACCCACTTTCTTGCCCACAGCTCGAAAAGAGAGTGGAGGCGTCTCACTATCAACTTCAGTCAATAACAAACTAAAACAGTTCTGAGCTACGTGGTGCGTAATTACCCCCGAAATACGATTCATGTGTTCACTATGTAGCAACCTAAATCCCCACCGACCAACGAACTGCAAAGTTACCCCTGAAGCATGTGGTTTGTGTTCAGTCATCAGAGACCTAAATCAACACTGAACTCCCTAGTCGAGTTATTTCAACCTGCGTGCTTAAATCACAAATTTTAATACGTACCGTACTCTGTTGTGCTTCAAGTTGACCGATGGCATAAGGAAATGTCACAAAATGTATACATTTTATTTCAC